CCCCTGCATCCTACGTTACTCGTTCCAGGACCAGCCATACCGCTTAAGCCCCCTCTAACTTCTGCCGCATTAATCGGAGCAACACCTGTCGGTTTTCGGAGCGCCGTCCTACTTGGTTGATTTTTTATTATTATTTGAAAATTTAGGTCTGTGTGCGGGGGTAAGGCTAGATAGAACCGGAGGTCACTAGGTATCCGGAGGACTACGTTCGAGACTGGGCTAATTATTAATCTGAGTCCCCAGCCAGGCAGACCATCAGCACGGTCCTCTAACACCTTATTCCAACCAGAGCTTTTTTCAAGAGGTTTGCTCCTCAGTTACCTCCATAGGTCGCGATCAAAACCCATTTCCATATAACTAAGCTATTGTGGAGCCTTAAGCACATAGCACTGATTTCTGATCCTAGCTGGTAGTGTATATTACCAGTCGGTACCCTCGTAGAGCTTTGGGGCGGAGGATTTTTGCCGACCCGTCCTCGCCTTGCTTTACGACGATTCCATTGAACTCGTCCCGATTACATTAAAACATGCCAGAATGTTGTTGCCGGAGTAATTTTGAAAGCATTCGTTTGCAGACAAATCGTTCGTGCAGCCTATCGTAGTAGTGAAACCCATTAGAAACAAGTCACCTTTCACCAACAACTTTCATGTGTCTTTTCTTTTGCACTTAAGTCAGCTTGGCGCTATTCTCAACAATAAAAATCATTGTCATTTGTTGCGTGTTTATATTGTTATATTTTTATCATTAGCATCTCTTCCATTTCTGCTGTTCTCGATGTGTTCTACATACATATACATACTTTCTTCTTCTCCTTTTTGTTGTCATTGCCACTGGCACTAATGATGATGAAACACAAATGAGTGTTGTAACCTTTCGGCTAGTTTTATTGTCTCAGCATGGTTTCAGTTATTCGCTTTTTTCCTTTTTTTGTACTATCCTCTTATCGCCTGTCACGTCGAATGGCTATGAGCAGTTGGGACGCACTTTTTTGCATATATTTTTCATTGTCTATCTACAGGGTTAATGTTTGCTATGTACTAGGGTGTACGATTATTCGAGTTTTTTTCAAAACCGGTTTTCGAGTTGAACGAAAAAAGCCTATTTGAAAAAAAAAAACTGTTGTTAATTTTTAAATTCAGAAAAACCTAGTTATCATGGGTATTTGCTTTAAATTTTCGAGTGTGCTTAAACGCGAATGAAGCCAAACGAACACCCTGTAGTTGATTTCAAAGCACATTGTTAGCACAAACTTGTAAAATATACTTACAGCAAAAAAAAATCTTCTTTAACAAAGTAAAAAACATGATGAATCTAAAGCGAATTTTATGATGCACTTGTATAAATATTCTACATGAAAAACCGCGCTTATTCGATAACAAAACACCAGTTTATTAGATATTCCAAAAATCGTGATTTCAAAAACACCGCCCAAAAATTTAGAAAAAAAACCCGGTTAAAACTGGTTTGGAATAACCGAGACAATCACCCTAGTATGTACGTACTTACATACATATGTAGATATGTAGTTGAACGCATTATTTTTTCTTCTTCATGCTTTCGTTGCCTACCCGCCGTCTTCAATATCGCAGCTGTCAATTTTCGCAATTTCACTTGAAAAGTGTTGCAAATAAATGATGCTGTTCTTGCAAACATCAACATTCTGTTAACGGAAACGAAAACGGATACGGAGACGGCGACTGTTGGTGGAGCACAGCAGCGGCATTGACGCTGTTTTATAAATGTACTTATTTTTGTTTGTTTCTTTTTGCCTACACTCTACCTACTTGCGTATACTTAAATACATAATAATTTATGTATAAAAAGTGGCGCTACGAGTAATTTAGGTATACAAGCTTAACAGTGGGTAGGCAACCAACGCACTTTTCTTGCTGATGGCAACAGGAGGCATCATGAAATATTGTATCGATGCGTGAAAGATAAATTAACTAGGCACTCTGTTTCATGGACCATGCGCGCATGGGAATGATAATCTTTATTTGAAAAAAGTATGAAAGTTTAGCAACAGTTAGGTTCGACATGAATTTCATACATTGATAAAGTTCCATGAGCTCGGTAAGTTTAAAATAAATATTCGGCTGGCACTCAAATCAATCCCCAATCCCCAATAAATTGGAAAATAGCGCTCCCTTAGCTAAAATATAACAGACTCATTGTACGTATTCGTATTAATGCAAATAGTTGACCACAACTCTGTGTGAATATTTATGTAAAATAACAAAAACAATAAAAATAAAATCTATGAAAGAAAAATGTCTCAGCAGCAGCATAAAAACAAATCAATCCAAAGCGAGTACAGCACTTCCAGACAAAGGCCATGGTAATTCTGGCAGATCCTTAAAGTTTCGGCGTGTTTTCATGCAAAATGATTCCACCTTAGTCAGTGTACATTTTTTGATAGTAGAAACGCCTCCAATAATTACAATTCGATTATTAAGGGTGGTGATATCGTGACCGTGTCTAGGAAAATGGGATAGATAATTGTATAAATAATTATAAACTAAAAAAAAAATTTAAAATACATTGAAATAACATTGCATGCTAACAATTTAGCTTTTAATTAGAAAATCCAAAGTTAATATTAAGAAAAGTACCTGGCCCATTTAATATCACCATAATGATGCCATTGGCCTTCAACAAAGTTATAATGATCCACTGACGACAAGGAAGTTAAAACATTATCTGAATTAAATCCGATTCCGCCAACGAGATACAGTTCATTCTCAGAAGGTCTGCAGAATTTTCCAAATAATCTGAAATGAAAAAGAGACGTGAATACCAGGTACTCATGACATTTGATTTGTAAACATCTTTGGACGGCTTGGCAAAGCGTTAGGCGATTCAGTTACATACATAAATAGGTTAGGATCGAAATTAAACAGATGGTCTAGAACTAGTCCTGAAATAGTCGTGAACGTGTGCTGATATGGTCCTGAAATATGACGTATGGTTCTGAAATAGATTCCGAAATGTTCCCGAACTAGTCCCGAAATGGACCTTAGCAGGCTCCGAAATGGTCGAAAAAGTCGTGAACCTGTCCCGAAATTATCCGGGACTTAAATTTGGTAAAATTTTTTAAATTAATAAATAAATTTATTACTTTTTTAAAAATAGTTGACACTGTAACAAAAACTATGTAAATGAAAATTTAAAACTTTTTTTAGAATTTTTTTTTTAAATGTCGGCCCATTTAATTTTGGGAAAATAAATAGCAAATTCTGGTTGATTTTTGACAATTTTTTCGATACGATGTTAAGAATTTTTCCCATATAAAAAGCATGTCGACAAAAAATATTTTAAAAAATTACCCAGTTTTTCTAAATTTTGAAAAAAATAAACTTTTATTTTTATTTGCACTCTATTTAAAAACAAAAATTATTTTTTTAATAATTTACAAACTTGTGTCTCATGCTGGAAAGGTTTGCGGGGTTAAAAGTGTACATCAAAATACCCACAAATTTTATTTCGATGTCCCTTTTTCCTCTAACATACCATACATTTTTTATGCAGGAGTTGAGTAATGGCATTCATAGTGGAATGATTACTCGTTTTGTTGTTTTCATCCAATGCAATTAAAATTAGCCAAGCAAACGTAATAGATTTCGAACCAAACTTCATTCGACCTACACTACCTTGACTTGGGCCGCCTGACTTTCAAACAACTGAACCATTTAGCAACCGATTTTCATTTCCACGCTACCCTATCCAAAAGTTAACCTCTCCACATCAAAAAAAAAAAAATCTGAAAAAATTTTAAAAACAAAATTATACAATGTGAATTCGCAGAACTTTTGTAGAAATTACTCGCTAGTAAAAATATATTCGCAACGTTATCTCAGAAATTTCAAAAATTATTTATGGAAAATTGCCAGAAATTTCTTACATCGCAAACTGCAGCTAAATACCTTATGTGGCAAATAAATAACAAATTTATACATGCATAAAAAATCAATTAACATTCTAATTTGAATTTTATCCGGTTCTCAAACCTATGCATGCATAGATGCATAACAACGTTAATCAAACGTTGCAGTCTATTCAATCCACTTGCCATCTCGATCGCGTGCACTTTAGTATTTTTTTACCATAAAATCGAAATATAAGCCGCTTACCGTGGTATACGCAAATGCTGATTTGCTTTAATCCATCGTGTGCCATCAATGCCAGCAGCACATCCCTTCATAGTAGTGGACAGCGTGCAACCACCTACGCCATCATCACCACCCACAGCAGCAATAGTCGCATCACCATCTACATCATTGACTTTAGGCAAGCGTATATCCGTAGCGTGTTCGTCATTGCCGCTACTGCCGTAAGCACACTTCAAACTATAATACTCCATCGAATCGGTGATTACATCCACGACTGCACTTTTTGTTGCTTCGACAGCAAAACTGTCAGCATTGCCATTGACGCCCTTTGCCGCGCCATTAACGCCACCACCAATTCCATCGCCATCGCCACCACCCAGAGCCTTTATATCCGCTGGTGTTGTTGTACTAGCGATAAAACCATCTCTGCTGTCGGATGCTCTCGTTTTCGTTTCGATTATGCCGCCAGCTATCCAAATCTCGTTATTTACCATGGCAGCCATCATACCGTAACGTCCTACATTCAACGGCGCTTTCTAAAATCCCATAAATAGCAGGCGATGTAGTGAAACAATTAAAAGTGTATGTATATGCGGGGCAGAAGGGCAGGGAAATATTTTTACATAGAGTTAGTTCCGATTTGTTCGTATACATATATATGTAGTACGTACATATGTAACTATGTAGTTACTGCATTGTTTTTTGTGACGTTTCAATTGCTTGTCGGAGCGATTTAGCTTTGTACTGAGTAGGTGGAAGTAAGAAATTATGTATGCCAATGGACCACAAAAGCAGAGTTTATTAAATCACTGTGTCTGGCATTGTTTCTTCTAATCTTTTGTGAATAGGTACATACATCTGTATATAGTACTTACATACTTACATACATATTTTCTTACCTTTTTCCATGTTTTGTGCAATACATTGTAGTACCAAACTGTGCTCAATGCCGTCCCATTAATGCCTTCACCTCCAATGATGAAGAAGCCATTAGCAGAGTTGCTATTTCGTTGCTTCGGCTGCTCCTTTATGCCTCTGCAACGTTTACAAGCAAATTCGCCGCCACAGAGCTCATCGCTTACAATCGCGGCGAAGTCACGTCGCAATTCTGGCAAATGACATTCAAATGTCCATTTAATAGTCTGCGGATCGAAGCTCCAAACAGATTTTTCAAATATCTAAAAAAGACATATATACATAAGCATGTATAAAATGTTCATACTCAACACCCATTAACATAACTACAGAAATAGAGGGGGTAAGAGGTGGACTGCGAGTGAGAGGCGTGATCTGTGAGAAGTGAATGTATTTGGAGATAATCTCTTTTCCGAAATTGTTTCTTTAGTGCCACACCGATGGTCTAAAGTTGTTTATTTGGATTAAAAGTAAGAAACTACTAAAATACTGTAAAGTGTGTGACTATCAGGCTTCGTGTGAAACTAAGATACAGACCAAATCTAGAAATATTCTTATCCTTCATTGCAATTATAGCTACGAGCTTTGGGTACAGAAGTAAAGCATGGACTCTTTTAGGCGTTTACTTGCTTAAGTTTATTACCCAAAGCTGAAAGTGATAGCGCTTGACAGATGAGCTAAAGTCTATTACTTATTCCCTTCACTCCAAAGCAGGGACCGAACATAACAGTTATTGATGAAAACTGTCATGGAAAAATTCCCTATGAAGGAAATGTTCTACAACTAAGTGATACATACCAATCGATTTCTTTTTTCAACGAGACTTAAATTTTAAAATAAAATTTTATTTGTAATTTTTATTCAAAATTAAAACAAATAATAGTTATTTTTGATTTTTATATTATATGTCATAGATAACAGTTATTGAAGACTTTTATTTATAAAAGTCATCAATAAATATCCGTTAGTGACTTTTAGTCTTAAAAGTCATCAATATAAATCAGTCACCGCCTTTTATTTTTTAAATCATTCGTGTAGAAGTCAGAAATAACGGTTATTTAAGGAGGAATTAAATAAAAGTTAAAAAATAATTGTTAAAGAGCGATTTTTTAAATAAAAGTTGTAACTGTCGTAAAAAAGTAGTATTTGAGATCAGATTTTACTGAAGTTTTTCAGGAAATTTGCCTAGAAATAAAGAAGTACAAAAATGGCATAGATTGGCAAATTTCCTCGCCCACTACTTGTTATCCAAATTTAATAAAATGTTGGTTTCATAAATGGATTTTTAGGACTGAGGGCGTGTCTGTGGACCGGTTCGGATCATCTTTCGGTTTTAAGTTTCTCTGCTTAAAATTAAGATACAAACCGAATTTAATAAAAATAGAACCAGATTTACCATTTCCGCCCTCTAGTGAAGTGGGCGTGCACGTATGCAAATCCATGCGATTTTTCATATTTCTTCATTCCTTAGCAAAAGTAATAATTTATAGTAAAATCGGAGTAAATTTCTTTCTTTTTGCGATATTTTATATGCTTCTCTTTCACTGTGCGGCAGAGCCAACAATATAAATACATCAACCAGGCGTTGAATTATTGTCTCCCTTTACAATGTACGAAGAAAAAATCTCACAGTTTATCAGGAAATGTTGCAACGCTGAGTAAATCCCTTTAATTGATTTAAAAATCGCCTTTGAAAAAAAATTTAAAAACATCTTAAGAATGAGATGTATATGAATTCCTTTCGTATGTATAACTCTGATGCATGGGTCGCCGTGGCATTTCTACACTCTCCCTTCTTTATAATAGAGCTCCAAGCCTTTCCTTGGATCAACAGATTAATTGGTAGCATGCGGCAGATCACATTCTCTAGTTAGCGAGATGATCGGAAAGAAGTCCGACCCCTGCATTTTATGCATCATCTTCCAAGCCGGACAAATAAACGGATCATGCCACTAAGCCGGGTTCATTCAAGCGAACTAATGTGTCGTTCACATAGGCAGTGATTGAGAGTCTTTCAGTACTTTTGTACACTAAATTCACTGGAAACCTTTGATAGTTATACATTCCACTCCCTTGGCAAGGTGGCTTCGGATTACTGGAAGCAAAGGATATGTAGGTAAAAATGGTTTCTTGCTAGAACTGTGGTAAAAGGATATAATTTCAAAGCGCCCAGTTCGGATGGAATTCTGCCTATTGTACTCAAAGAAGTTGCTGAGCTTTTCACAAAAACTTGGAAAAAAAGATTTCACTGTTTCGCTTTACCCTTAAAGGTGGTAAGGATAACAATAGTAGACCTAAAATCGTCAGCCATATTACCATGATGACTGGCGTGCCATATTGAACTCGACCAAAATCGCTTTGGCGCGTTTCAGGCTTTCAGCGCTCTACTCAGCTACATATAAGTTTCATATTAGGTCTTGAGCGCCGAAAGCCACAACCGTTGAAAAGCTTGCGGTGAAGTTATACTCTTACAGCGCCAAACAATAAGAAGAAGATATTACCATCATGTCCTTCATGCCGTAATATCTGAAGATAATTGCTAATTTTCGTATAATTACGATTAAGACGCTTACTTCGTTTTTGCATTAGTGTTTAGTCAAGTTTATCATCCAATTTGTGGTGAAGGGACCACCATTTTTTCTCCGCCTTCGAATGGCAGATGGTTTGTTATGAGAAGCATTTGCTTAGCGGCAATACATTCAGAGGGCAGGTTTTCCGAGGGAGGGCCGGTAAATAAAAACATCCACGAAAAATTCTAAATTTTAAATTTTTTAGGGTTGGTTAGCAGGGTTTGAAGTTTTTTTTTACTCAAAACAATTCTGACTTGGAGCAGCTGTAACTTAACGAGTTAATAAAATTATTTGAATAAGTTTTAAAAGCATGTTAAATTTACTAGACTTCGGTAAAAATTTTGACGAATTTCTGATATTTCTTTTATTTAAATATTTTGAGACCCGAAATTTTGAGGTTTCCATGGGTGTACAACAACAACAAAATAAAGAGGTGCCTCATACAAAATTTAGTTGGCGATATTTTAAGGAAAACTACAAACATATGTCTGCATTGAGTCCAACAGGACCACAAATAGTTATTTTGAAATTGACTTAAGTTTAGTGCCACCTACTGGGATCAATTTTGGCTTATATCAATCCATCCTCGAAATCATTCGACCTGTTTAGTAGTATGAGAAGTACGAGCGGGAGGACCCAACAACAATCAAATTCAATTTCTACACCACTCACCGACTTCTTTGTACAACCTAGCGCCGTCTTCGTGCCACCTATTATGTAGATGAGTCCGTTACAGACCACAGCAGCGTGATGATGACGTGAACCGAATGGCAAGTAACACAAATGCTTCCACTGCTTAGTGCTGGCATCGTAGTAGAGCACACGGTCTCCCAAATTATCCAGCTGATTGATCTGTGTATTTACACCGCCACAAGTACTGCAGCCGCCTATGCCGTTATGGTAAGGCATTGGCTCCATATTATCGGCATCACTACCACCAAAAATTTGTGATCTCTTGCGTTGTTGTTGCATTGCCATCATTTTATCATGCTGGCAATGCTGGCAGTACGGATCGATGCCACCGAATATTAGTATTTTGCGACCTTTTATGCTTTGCATGGTAGGAAAAATAAAATTTTTTAAACTCACATTTATACATACTTATGTATGTATTTACATTAGACCATAGCACTTTATAAGCAAACAAAAAATTTCGCCGCACACGCCTGAATCTAAGGTACAAGGCAATTACGGGAAAAAAAAAATTTTTGGTCAAACCTAGAGTGGACTGCTTTCATTTTAAGGTGATAACAATATACATTTGGAAAAAGAAATTCAAATAGTTTTACTGTAATCGAAATACGTCCTTAGCAAAAGATAGGAGCTTTTGGCGAGCTTTAATTTACTGGCAATAGGGTGGTACGTTAAGGCGACAAGAACGGAGATTTGGTGAGTATTTGAGGACAATAAACTTTGGAACAAAAAAATTTTCTGCTCGAGGTCTGATTTCTAAATTACTCTCGGAAAAATTCTTTAGATTCAAAGGTGTACGACGAACATTTTTTTCCGGTGCGGTCTAATGTACAAATACACATAATTTTATTCAAACTCACGTTTTGAACTCAATTTCTTCTACAGTTGACAACACAGTCTTGGGTACTTGCACTATTGGTGTCACATGTGGTTTCACATCCTCTCCCATAGACATTCCATTGTTAGTTTCTTTGCGCGGAGGAGGTATCGTCGTCTTTGATTCGCCAATATTGTTACATGGCGTTTGAGAGGCTTTTGTATGGCAGAGTTTTGACTGCAGCATTGTCTTAGGCCCATCACTACTCCCACCAGCAGCCACATCTACATGCATACCACTAATACGAGGATGTGTGTGACCACCTTCGACACAGTGATGTACTTCACTCTTTTGTTCGTATTCATCATTCAATATTCGATGATGTACGTCGCATTTCAATTCATGTAGCTCGCTCGGAATTGCAATGTTTTCTAAGCTTTTGTTTTTGTTGTTGTAGTGGTAGTTGCAGTTTGATTGCTGTAGGTTTTGTTCTTGGAAAGGTTCATAGCATTGTGGTTGTTGATGTCGATTGTGCCTGTGGTGATGATATTGCTGTTCATGCTGTGCTCTGTAGGCGAGCTGGTGACAACTGGACGCTGTAGAGGGCAGCACATGAGTGGTAGACATTCTGCTTAGATTTTTAAGACTCGAAGTGTTTACCATGTCCATCTTTTGTTCACCATGATACCGTTGATCTGGGTTAAATTAAGAATAATTGTAATAATAAAAAATTAACATTTTGATGGAGTACATTTACGGTGTTCGTGGCGTATGAGTAAATTCTTACTGCTGGCTGCGCATACTCGTATTTAATCCCTTCACAAAATTAGACTAGTAATTTTTAAGTACCGTTATTTTATTCATGACACAATGATCGGAACTAAACCAAATTAGTAAGGGACCACCCTTGAGGTACCACCTTTTTCGATAAAATAAAATTAATCGGCAGCGGTTCAAGTGGTCCAAAGTTATCTAAATTTATACAATAACATACATAAAAAAAGATATACTGATGAATTTATAACCTTACACCTTATTTTGAAGTCGGTTAAAAATACAAACCTCTGTCAAATAATTATAATTTTTTTCCACGAAAATCCTTAATTGTAAAAACGCATTTGCATGCGATATTCAAAAAAGCAGAATATTTTTTTTGACACTTTAGAGAATAACAGCCAAATACACGTAAATGTTATTTTTGTTCTAATGCCACTACCCGTTTCATATGCCTTGACCTGAGCCCAAAATACATATGGGCCATTCCATGCAAAAATTACACAATATAGATATAGATGAATATTTGTTTGCATTAAAAAATTGCATTTTTTTTGTTTTTTTTTTTTTTATTGTACACTGTTTGATTTTTTTTTTGGAATCTAAATAGTTGTCAAACCTTATGGAGTACACTGTAAAAATTGTATAATGGAAAAACCAAAACTGCGTAAGTTACGAGTTTTTCATGCCTGCGTACATAAACCAACACTGGCAGCGCATGCTTAGGAGGTTTAAGATACGCTGGATGAAGTGTGTAGTGGTTGTTTTGCCGAAAAAAGGCATTTCTTTATTCACGGCATATTTTTTGTTCCTCGGAACTGTTCTCAAATGTTTCGTTTAGAGGCCAAAATAAGTATCAGAATATTGACATTAAAAATGTCCGCACCGCACTTTTCGATTTGCTATAAGAATAGCACAGAAAAAATTTATTTTTATATTTAACAAGCGATACGTTGTACCATACCATGATAAAAATATAACAAGGTAAAACCATTGAGAGGCAATAGCTCCGATATAATACATCTCGTGTAAAATCCTGTAAAAATGTCAAACAGCAAAATTACTCTTTGAAGTGAGAGTAAAAAGTGAGTAACAACAAAAAGTAAGGGAACAAAGGAAAGCATTTTTCCTTTAAAAACGTCAACCAGTGATCGCTTGACACTTTTCATGATTTTACCAGCAGAAAAAGTTTGGGTAAATTATTGCATTCATTCTCTACACAACTCTCCAAAAATCGCTCTCATTTACAGGATTTTTGAGAGATTTGGAGTACGGGATCGATTTTCCTCTAACTTCCTTCAAGTTCGTGTAAAAACCTGTAAGAGCTAGTCTGACGTTTGCCAGCAATATAACGTAAAAACTCAAAACTCAAACTCACGCACACATTCTCATTTTCAATCGCAAACAACATCACCGAATTGACTTATCGAAAAATGAGTTCAGACCTCTTTTATAGAGCGTTCAATTCTCATTACAGTTCATTTACAGTACAACGTTTCGTTCGTTAACTATACAAATAAAAAGTAAAAAAAAAAAACACTTTTCTATTACCCATAAGAATAACATAGGAAAAATTCTGCCTTGTCCTGAGTCTCGTCCGAAAACAATTTTACCCGAAAATATTTATTCCGCCCGTAGTAAATATATGTATGGAAATGAAAACTGAAAAGGGAATCGGTTCGGGGAAAATGAAACTCTGAATGAAATGATATTGATAGTATCAATACCTGACGCGCTCGAGTAAATCTATGTAACTGGTTTTTTTACTTTTTTGGAAGCCTGTAGATGCTCTACCCACCGCTGGATGGAAAAACATCACATGACAATTTTTTTTTCTTCCCATCATATCATCTTCAAAATCCAATAGGTAAAAATGACGCTCGAGTAAATCCCGATTTAGCATCGTGAGCTCCCCTACTATATATTATGAAACGTGCGATATCTTCGTCAAAACAATTGCCTTGCCAAAATACTTACAAGGCTCAGGCGTGTATGGCGAACTTTGTTTGCTTGTAAGCTTTTAATTTTTTCTCCCAAAAAGTAAAATTTCATTGAATTACTATTTACCTCTGGCAAGCGGCTTTCGCTGCCTCAAACTGGTCTCTACTTGAATACCCTGATCGCGACATTGCATCGTAAATACGGATCCCTGTAAAACAGACAAGAGAAAAGGAAAAGAAATCAAATCTCCGTCGATTTGGGAATTTTCAGTGATCTTTATTTAATTTTTTTTTTTTATATAATTTATGTTTTTATAAAAAGAGTCACAATAATTTTCGAATAAAGCCAAATTACAAATTACAACAAAAATTTTCATTGATTAAATCTGACAATTTGTGTGACTAGAACTATATAAATATGTGCCGACACACATACATTTTTGTTAAGTAAAGTCATCTAAAATAGGTGATTTGGCGATTTTGTGTTGTAAATGAGGAGCAATAAGCAAAAAAAAAACGTTAACGTACTAAATTTTGTTCGTTCACTTTGTTCAATTTTCGACACTCGGAGCGTACGCAACACTGCATCGACTTCTCCACCCCTTTCGCCATTTCGAGCGAACGCCAGTAGTCTTTGCCGATGGTGTGTATCATTTCGAGATATTCTAGAAAAGATTTGTACGTCACATACTGCATATTGGGGCATTCGAGGCGATGATGGTAGCTGCATTCCTTGTCGAAAACCCATTGACGTTGAACCGGTGCAACCAGCTGATAACGCTCCAAGAAATGTAGAAATTCTTCACGATTTTCGCCATAATATAGCTGAGTCGTTGTATAACTGAAAGAAAATGAAATAAAATCCATTATGTTATTTTTTTTTGTTTATGCTATATATACAGGATAAGCCACCCGTTCACCCCATTTAAAATTGAGAAAATTGTTGTTTATTGGAATATGCAAAAATATGAACTATTGGTTCCGGTTTCAAGCGGAAGTCGATTGCAGAAAAAAGTTTCCGACAAAAATTATGTATTTTTGTCCGCAAAATCCGAGTCTGTGCTAAAAACATATATATATATATCTTATTTAAAAAATGGTCTTCCGGCCGGAACCGGAAATCGGTAATACGATCAAAATATAGAGTATCCCCGACTTGGTAGTTCACATTCTTGTGTTTCCAATAAAAAAAGGGTCCACCTCTGGCCTACGACACCCTGGATGTGCAACTTAGAACGTGCCACCTTACGAGCAACCAAACAAAGTTTCACCCTATTCCCCTGAGTCTAAAGTATTTTGCAAGGCAACTTCAATTGGCCGAACCAGTGGTTGAATTTTTACATTTTTCGGTGACACCGAAATGTTGCAATATTTTTTTTTTAAAGAACTACTGGTATAATTAAAATTCTTCCTTAACAAATCTTTAATGATTTTTCGTGAGCTTTAATTTACTGGAATTAGGGTGATAAGAAGGAAGGAGGGAGATAAGAACTGAGATCTTCTGGGTAAGTACTAGAACGGGGTACTTGAGGTCAATGTACTATGGGACAAAAAAAAAACAGACAAGAAGATTGATATATCGCACTTTAAAATCCGTCTGTGAATGCCGAAGAAATTACGAAAAATATAAAAAATAGGACCCACAAAAAATATTATTCCAAATCGCCTTGCAAAAATACTTAACACTCAGGTGTTTTTTCCGATACGCTCTAATGTACACATTTATTCGTAAATCCAAAGAAAGTATCTACTTACGATATGCCATCGTTGATCATGCGTTTCACTTCCGGATGGCTAGCAATGCGATCGATTTCGATGCAATCGATATTCTTATTCAACGTCACAAGAAACCACGGCGGCATCAAGCTGAAGCGTACACACTTGACCACTTGCAACATATCGGGCTCACGTTCCTCCCAATTGTAGTTAAGCCAGCGCACAACCGACATAAAAATCTGAAAAAAAGGAAATATTGATTGGAAATCGTCATCTATTGGTGAGTGATTAAAAGTCAATTTTTATAACGTAGTCAACTTAAAAGCTAAAACACCATTGCAATCATAATGAAATTGGGTATGGACGAAGGTTCAGAATTATCATAATAATTACATATTCATAGGAAAAGGAAAGGTCATATCCTCTAGGAATATGAAGAAGCTCTATTTGTATTTGAAAGAGAGATTCGAGATAGAGGGATTACTTCAGAATTGCACATCTCTGTTCCTATGGGGAAATATCCGAGCATCTTCCTAGCAGAAGTCTATGCCATCTACCTATGTGCGGAGACAATCATGAGTAGAGTGTACAGAAATGACAGAATTATAATATTGAGCGATAGTCTGGCGGCACTCTAGGCTCTTCAATCTTACGAAGTCAAATCCTCGTTGGTCCTTGAGTGCATTGAGAAGCTAAACTCCCTTGGCAGACACAAAATCAGGTTAGCGTGGGTACTCGGCCATGGAGGAGTAGAGGGTAATGAGGTGGCTGACTGTCTCGCTAGGAGAGGCGGCAACCATCATTCCAGTTGGCCCAGAGCCCTTCCTGAGAGTAGGTCTCAATACTATAAAGGAAGAGCTTAGGAGAGAGTGGTTCACAAAAAGGGATCTAAACTGGCGCAGTTCAGAAGGAATGCGCCAGGCAAAGAGTTTACAGGGAGGGTTTAACAAGAAAATATTTCAAGGGTTAATAAGCTTCCCAAAAGAGAGGCTTAGAATTGTAACAGGATTTCTTACAGGACACTGCAGACTAAGGGGTAACCTACATACATAAGCTGGGCATATGGTCTAATGATCTTTGCAGGTTCTGTGACTTGACCAGCGAGACGCCGCTTCACATTCTCACCGAGTGTGATGCAGTCCGCAGAAGACGTGAGAGTAGTCTAGGCTCGTTGTGGCCACAGCTTGAACTTGAGGGAACTGGGCTTAGATGAAGTGTTGTGAAGAGAAGACGGCACAATGGATCACCAGGTCGCAGTGCACACCTCACATTAATATCTAGCTACATATTCATAAAAACACAACATGTTTTAGCTGAAAAAAAATATTTCATAGTAAAAAATGCATATATCATCACTTGGCGCGCAATACCTCGAATCTGCCAAATGCAATACCTCGTGTGAGGTGGCATAGAAAAAAATTTATTTTGGTTACTATGTCTCAATGCTTGCCTACTTCACAAATTTAATAGTAAATAATTATACTAAAAGCTCATATTTAGTAAGTTTAGTTAGCAAACCATTCAAACGTTTTGAATAAAATAAGTTTCTTCGCTCTTTTACGACATTTTCGGACTATCTTTTATGTGATGTTGCATTTGGCGGATACCAGGTTTGCGCGCCATACGACGATAAGTTATGCTTTTCACTTAGTCATAACGGTTTATCTGAAAGAAAAAATGTAAAGGAGGTCGCTATACTACTGCGAACGTAAGTCTGAATCCAAGCTACCCCGCGGCATAAAGCCTATTTTTTGTCTACCGAGTCCGCCGGTGTAAATTTGAGTGAAGCGCCGCTATCGGTGTCGTCCTCAAGGCACCTGTTATACTCATCATTGGGTGCCAATATACCTTTTCCAGTCTTTTCAGGTATGCCTTTTTTCGTTGCTGACCACCATATCAGTACTCTATAGATTAGAATAAGCTTAGCTATAGCTATGAATATCCAATATAAAAGAGCGGATGAAAGCCTCAAGCGAAATGCAACATCTCCATACATGTATACAGTGCGTGCTGCCGAGGCCTTCCTCGCCCGCTCCTCCAAACTGAATTTCCATCGAGAATGATTCCAAGGTACTTCGAGTTTGATTTCGGTTGAAGAGTGGTCTTCCCTAATTTAGGTTTATTTCAAGCTGTCTTGTATTTTGCTGCGAATATTACTAAATCAGTCTTCTCTGTGTTAATTCTCAGTCCCACTTCTGTAGTCCAATCACATATAGAAGTGGTGATAACACCCCTCTCTGTGGTGTACACAGCGTTGCCAGGTGTCCGGTTTTTGAGCGGACTGTCTGGATTTTAGTCTGTTCGTCTGGGTGACAATAAAAATAAAACGGGCTGTGAAGTGTGTGATCTGTTTAAGCACAGACGTACACAACCCTCCCCCTCGTCCCCGTTTCATGAAGTCGCGCAGTCCTTCATGACTTAGGTATGTAAGTTTATACTGCGCTAAAATTTTTTTTCATCTTTCTGAAAATGCCATCAATCCCTGGCGATTTTAATCCCATTCAATCTCGTCCGAAGTTACTAAATTTTCCACAGCCAGATCTGACTGTTCGCTTTACATTCCTGTGGGCTCCGACTCTGCGATTCCTGCTGGGAAGTTTGTGTTGGGTAACATCTCGAGCACTTCGTCGCCAGTCTGCGTCCGCGTCACATCCTCGGCTCTAATAACAGGGCAATTATGGCTAAGAAAGTAAAGAGTCTTTCGTAAGACAACTGAATGACAGATGGCAAGGTAGTTCAAAAGACATTTGTTATTCTACCACAAAAGCCTTACAAAAAACTCTCTCATTCACCACTCGCATGAAAAGCAGTTTCAAGAGGAAGCACTTGTATATCATTTACCTCGCGTCGCTTCAACAGTGGCAATGGCCGAATGAGCAAAGCACAGGCGTGCCATTCGAGAAATCCGAGTTCGAGTCCTCGGGCAGCGAAATTTTCTTTTTTTATTTCCTTTTTTTAAATTCCATTTAATTTTCAGACTTTATTGTTTTAAAAAGAAAAATTTAGTTCAGTTTTTAGGAACTTTAATTTTTAGAAACTTAATTTAGGTATTTTTTCTTTTATAATTTAATTTTTTTGTTTCTTAATTAAAATTTCTCTTGATATTTAGATATTATTGCTTAAAAAAATGAAATTTTTATTTATGTTCGTTTAATTATTTAGGAACTTAATTTATATTTTCCTTTTTTAAAAAAAATTTTATTTTTAGTTTAATTTTCTCTTAGTTTTTTGATTTTATCTATTGTTTAAAAAATATTTTTTTAATTGTATGTAATTTTGAAAAACACATTTTATTTGTTTTCGCATTTTTAATCTCATTAACCGACTTTTAAAAAAGGAGGAGGTTATCAGTTCGTCGGAATATTTTTTTTTTTTTTTTTTTTTTGTTAATCTCATTTTCCTTTAATTTTTATATTTTGTTTAAAAAATATAAATATTTTTTATATCTACCGTTTAATTTTTAGAATCTTATTCAATTGGTTTCTTNTTTGTATCTTGCTTTTGTATTTTCATTACCCACTCCGCAGTGGCGCTAAAAAGTTCAATGTAGCTGCTCCGTATTCATGTGCATACGCATACGCAAAAATTAAGTTTTATTTTCTGAGGAAAAAATAAATCTCAGGAAATAACTATTATTTTCCGAGCAAAAAATTAAACTTAAAACGTAACGATTATTTTCCGAGTAAAAGTATCGTAGCCCTAAAGTATAACGAAATATTGTAATTATGGTACTCTTCTTAGCTCTAAAATAATATTTTCATCAAGTCTATTAACTAAAGTTCTTTGTAATGGCATTTAGTACTATTTTAATTTTTTAACCGACTTCCAAAAAAGGAGGAGGTTATCAGTTCGTCGGAATATATATATTTTTTTTTTTATGTATGTTACCGCATAACTTTGGACCACGTCAACCGATTTCGATAATTCTTTTTGCAACGGAAAGGTAGTGTCTGAGAGGTGGTCCCATTTTTAGTGCGGAGATTTTTTTCCTGTAAGTTCATGAAAAGTGTCAAACGATCAGCTGATTTACATGTGCAAACCAAAACAGAAAGCGGTGAAAGCAAAGAAGCTTATATTTGTTAAAAAATGGAATTAAACAACGAAATGTTTGAATATGTATAGATTTTATTAATTATTTAGTGATATTTCAGCTAAATCAGTGTTGTACAAATGACATGTAAACAAACCGAGTGACGTTTTTACAGGAAATAGTGCTTTTTGCGTTCCTATGCACTTCTGCATCTGTTCTCCTTTTACTCTCATTTGAGAGAGTAAAATTGTAGTTTGACAGTTCCACAGGTTTTAGTCCGAAGTTCAAAGGAACAGACTACCTGTAACTTCTGACTATGAACAGTTGCTCATTTACTCTCTCAAATGTGTTCCCACTTACAGGTTTTGTGTCAATAGGAACGACTTCCTGTAAGTTCTGACTAAATCCTGTAAACCGGACTGCTATTGGAACAGACTACATGTGTTTGTGATCAGCTGATTTTCTTACTTGCAAGTTTTAGCTGCGAAAAATTTTTCCAGCAGAAATTTGCAGCTCTCTTTCACATTTTGCTCTCTCAATTTCCCCTACTTTGCAAGTTTTTTGGGTACGAGAACGCAAAACCACTAAAAGTTTTCTAAAACTTTAGATAGTTGGGCGTACGAGTACACACCTATAGTTAAGCTACAGCCTTAAAAGTTCAAAATATGAAAAATTTCATAAACATACCACTTATTCGACATTTGGGGTATTCTCTAGGTCTTGCAAAACCCATAGACGGTGCAAGGAATGCATGGTAGGGTAGGTAGAACCGGTTTTTCTATGGGAAAGCTTTGCAAACAGTAAAATCCCTAAATCTAGCAAGTGTTTTGCAAGACTCTAGCGAATATAACTATTATTTTAAATAGGAAATTGTTCAAACTCTCTCAGTACATTTCAAAAATACTAGCAAACTCATCCCAACTACGTTTCCCGTCCGTGCTTACCTCAATCTCCGAGTTCACGCCGATCGTATTGGAGCTCAATAACATACAAATCTCCTTGGTAGTCAACTCCATAAATTCCTTCGAAGCGACAAGTGTGAGGAAAAATTTGCAAATTCTTGTTAGCATCAATTGCTCTAAGCTCTCAAGTCCATAGTTGCGGGCCTCTAAATAGAGTAGGAATGCAGTGTCTTCACGGAAGCGTACATCATCGTCCAAGCAGAGCCAACACTGGTTCACTAGGTCTTTGATGCGTAGAAAATTGGCTGCATTGAAGAGCTCCAATATACCCTCACGCTGCACCAAAGGCTCCTCGGCTAGCATCCAGTCGTAGACCATCATGAAAGCGCCGGGTGTTATCTTTTCCTCTGGCAATTGTATCAGTACCTCATTGTTGCATTCCATGAAGAAATCCGAATAACACTGCAGCACCATCATGTGGCAATTGAAGGTAACGCCGCCGATGCGTATCTGCACATTCGGTTTTCTGTGATTATCAATCATATTGCGTAGCAATTTATAGAGATTTTCCTTGGGCGGCTGGACAATCTCTTCCCAGCCCTGTATCTCATTTGTTTTAAAACCCATTTCGAGGAGGGACTTCTCCTTGAGCGTGCAAACTGTTTTAGGCTTTTTGCTGTCATGTTTACCCGGTAAAGGAATATTGGATGGTAGTATCTTGCTGGGCGGTGGTTTGGTAGTCTTTGGTGCCCCACCATCAAATGTTTCTGAAAACACACATTTTAGCTGCTTAAAGTAAAAATTGGATTTTTAGATTGCTCAGCAGACTTACGTGGCAATTTTTGGTACTCAATGCCTGGGTCTTTTGCCTGACTCGAGGACTCCGAGTTGTCTACGAAATTTAAACTGTAATGAGGAGCAATAATACGAGAATTGTAAGCCGTTCAAAAATATACCACTAATTACGAGTAACTGCTAGCTACACTCACTTCATGTACTTCACGTTGTTCTCCAGCGTGTCGGAAAACTGTGGGGAGCCAGTTGTACCAGTTGTTGAAATGCTCGACTCATTATTCTACAAATTTTGGAATTATTTGCATACTTTTTTTCGAATTGGATTTTACACGAATTACCTTATTCAGTGGTTTATCCATTTGAAAATATTTCTCTGGTAAATAATTGATTAAAAAATTGCTCTAACAGATAAAAATGTTGTTTAATTTGGACAGCAAAAGCAAATAAAATATATTTTATTTGAATTAACTGAAAATGAAAAATCTACGAAATTTCTTGGCAGCAAAGTTTTCTTTTGAAAAATTTTCCCAATATGTAGAAAGTTTCACAATTGATCCACGAATGTTTGGCGATGATAAAAGTTGGTTCAATTATAAAAAATATATTTTGAAAGGATCGATAAAGTTTAAATTGATTTATTTTGGAACGAATTTCCGTCATCCCTTGTCAAGTTTGGTTTGCAGACAAACCGGTTTCGGCGTTGTGCCATCTTCAGTGTCATTTTTCGTTCTGTCTGGTTCGAGATTTGTCCCTAATTTATGTTCATTTATCTTAGGTAATGTGATTTTCGTCGATGATTAATTACTAGATATGCCATGGTGCCCATTTTTTTGAAGCAGGTAATAGGTTCATCTTCGCTGTTTCGATATTAACATGCATTATGTTGTCGCTGTATGGTAGGCAAAAACCATACAGCGACAACATAATGCATGTTAATATCGAAACAGCGAAGATGAACCTATTACCTGCTTCAAAAAAATGGGCACCATGGCATATCTAGTAATTAATCATCGACGAAAATCACATTACCTAAGATAAATGAACATAAATTAGGGACAAATCTCGAACCAGACAGAACGAAAAATGACACTGAAGATGGCACAACGCCGAAACCGGTTTGTCTGCAAACCAAACTTGACAAGGGATGACGGAAATTCGTTCCAAAATAAATCATCTTACCACCCTGTCGGAAAAATCAACCAACACCAACACACAAAGTTTAAATTCATCAGCAATCGCTTCGGAAGTTCAAACTTTTTTTAAATTAGGAATTCAGTGCGCGTATAAGATGTGGTAAACTGAAATCGAAGGTAGATTAGAATAGGTTAGGGCAGGTGGTCGTGCCCAGTTGAGAACGCACTTGCAAATTATTGCCTGCATAAACCCCGAATATCTATCCGCTGAAGTTACTCAGGGTTCGTTGCAAAGTGCGAGCGATGAAACTTTATCCCTAGGCTCACGAAACCTAGATAAATTAGTAGAGTGTGTTGAGGTGAATTTCAGTCGGTAATACGCGAGGATTGTGGCTTTGCAAACATAAAAAACTGATATGACCTAACCCACCAACACTTTCGAAATTTTAGGGTGTACAGGCACTGAGCTTGCTAGGCATCTAGATTCCCTGAACCTGAAGGCCCGTTTACATACAACTTTGGCGTTGCGTTGGCGTTGGCGTTGGTTTGACAGAACGCACGTTAAAAGTATGCTTGCTACAATGAACGCTTGGCGGCGAATCCTTGGGCCACTAAATTAACATATTAACGACAGATAAATTAATATTTCATATCAATAATTGCATTAAAAACGATATTTCTTGCCCGCACTTGATTAAAAAGGAAAAATATTTCACATAATTTTATTTATTCGCAACAGCTGACGAGCGACGCACGCGAAAAGTTGAGAGTTGGCCATCTTTTTGCTTTGTGTTGGCGTGAGCGTTGTCGAATTTTGGCTATGTGGACGGCTGCATTTGAATTCATGTATTCATAGTCAGCTGTTGAAGCGACGCCAACGCCAACGCAACGCCAAAGTTCTATGTAAACGGGCCTTGATTGTAACGCGTGCTGCGGCAGTTTTGATTACAATGGGCAGCTCGCTCTAGCGAACTCCAACAGACGAGATCACTATGAGCGAGAGACCCCATCTCTTGCCAAGAGTTGCAGCAATATTTGCACGACAGTTTTGTACCTAGCGTCAGCCCGAAGCACTTGATGTTGTCTAGACCAGTTCTGTCTTACCATGATTGGCGGTGAGGTTGCAACTACCCGTCACTAAGTTTAGATATATTTGGGTCAGATCATATAAGTAGGCTGCCCAGAAATCCACCCTTAATCATAAGAGCCACGCAAAGAATGATGGCAAGCAGTAATAAAGTGAGTGCACCAACTCTTAAGCAAAAAATTGACATTTTCGTTTTCCAGAGAGGTTAAGACACTGGCAGCCTTTATTGCACTCGACCAATATCGTTTAGGCGATTACAGTATCAAATTAAAAGTAAGGAGGAAGAGGGTTATTAAGAGTTATGCCTATCGGACTACCTCATCCGAAAGCACTGAACACCCTCACCACACACATTAGCGGTCGAATTCCTAACCTACCTAACCGCCTAAGCGCCAACTGACGCCAATTGGAAATGCCAAGTCAAGCCAAGTACTTCTCCCCCTGGTTTTTCCATCGTAGTGGGGGCCTTCCTCTCCCTCTGCTACCACCAGCGGGTTCCAAGTTGAATACTTTCAGAGCTGGAGCGTCGGTGTCCAGTAAACCTTACAGAGTGTGGTTTTCGTACGTCGAGAGAGGACTTTACTCCTGAATTGCCGACTCAGCGCAAAGTAGCACTTGTTGGCAAGAGTGATTCTGCGTTGGACGTAGGTGCCAAGAAGCGAATGTGCTCGTTTACCACCAGACCAATTCGCTTTGCTTCCTTATCCAACTTGAAAAAGGCCGAACCGACTTCGTGGTTTTTGCTACTGATGTTGTGGATGTCATCGGCATAAGCCAACAATTGCACGGTCTTATTATCTTCTTCAACATCAGATTAAAGAAGTCACATGAAAAGAAGTCGCCCTGTCTGAAACCCCGTTTGGGTCTTTCCTAATTCTAACGCAGCTGGTGGTCATTTTATACAGCCGTATGAGTTTTGAGGGGATGCTAAATTCAGGCAACTCATTTTAGTGCTGTAAATACCTGTTCTCTGGAGGATTCAGTCCTTTCAGTTCAGTCTTTCACACAATACGCTCGATAAGACCTGGCGTGAATGGCATGCGTTCATCTGACCATATTCTGCATCAGAGTTGATGAATGCACCTTATAAACTCCTCGCCGCCGTACTTGAACAGCTACATATGTATTCGTACCTCGTCATAGTCAAGCGGTGGAGCATCGACTCCGTCATCATCGACTGGGCTATATGGCTCGCGTTGCGCGTTGAAGCGGAACTGCTGAGAGAGACCAGGTGCACCCCGCACTCCACAACTATTACTACGTTTATGCGTTTGGGTTAAAATTGGCTGCATAAACATCTGAGGGGTTTACAAAGGTGTCGTAAGTGTCGTATTGTTGTATGTCGTATACTTTAAAAGCTTAAATAAATGCTTAGAGAACTTGAAACGATAACCAACTATTAGATATTTAACACCGCAAAAATTCATAATTTGACTTTGATGGTACTTTACGAACCCCTTTAATATATTTTTTAGGCGTTAAAAGTTTGCGACATACAACAATACGACACTTACGACACCGTTGTGAATACCCCAATCATTTCAACGTCACGTTTCACAAACAGCTGTTTACTAGGGTTATGATGGCTGCAATTCTTTATACATTCCGGATAATCCCATTTCACAGCCGGAATAAACAGAATACGTTTGAAATATACGTCAACATATCATCAGGAACGTTCTAAAGAATAAATAAACAAAAAAGTGTATTCCAAACGTTCAGAATGAATAAAGAAATGCAGCCGATGTTTTTAGATTAAAAAGCTTGAGCGGCATTACCAGGATTTAAAACACTGGAACGACTTTTGAAAATTCAAAAGAAGGCCAAAAAAATCATAACCCTACTGTTTAATTTCTCGCCAGTGCATTGCCACTTTTTCCAAGGCACTTTATTTCATGAATTCGCGAACTATGCATAACGGGACCATTTTTGAATTCATGAAATAGAGAATTCATGAATTCTGTCGCATTAACGTAGTATATCCCTCTCGGCTGAACTCGGAAGTTGCAAACACTTGCCCTGCATACCCTGACGAAACCCCAGGGGTTGAGCACTGCTGCTGTAACATTAACAACCACACGCAATGTGAAGAACTCGGTAGAAAATTCCATTTAAATTGCTTTTTCNCCCTGCATACCCTGACGAAACCCCAGGGGTTGAGCACTGCTGCTGTAACAACAACAACCACACGCAATGTGAAGAACTCGGTAGAAAATTCCATTTAAATTGCTTTTTGGGGGATTAAACGTAAACAGATTTCAACATCTTATAAGTCTCCCAGAAAAGAAAAGAAAAGAAAAGAAAAGAAAAGAAAAGAAAAGAAAAGAAAAGTTAAAGACCGATGATTGCACAATTCCTCAAAATCCCCCAACAAATATTCAAATGAAAAATTATTACAAAATTACATACGGCAACGCTGCTACTTTATTTACTTGCGCGACGTAAACAATCCAAAGTGTCTATTGCCCAGCTGGAAATGTTGGAGTTTCTGAAACACCTCTTTAGGCTACAATTTTTGCTTATTGTAGCCGCCGTGCTTACTGGTGTTTATTACAATCAACTTATAAACTGGATCACGAATAAAACTGGGGATCCAGCCAGTGAAAGCTTGGCAGTTTCTTACGAAAATTCTCAAGAACTATCTTCCGGTGAGCAACTCTTCACACGTGATGAATTGGCAAAATTTAATGGCGAAAATGGCACACCAATATACCTGGCCATAATTGGCACTGTTTTCGACGTGTCTAAAGGTATTAAGCATTACGGACCAGGCTGTTCGTATAACTTTTTTGCCGGACGGGACGCTTCGGTGTCATTCATAAATGGCGAATTCGAAAGCTATGACGTGGGGAAAGCCGATGACGTGATCTCATTAAAGTCCAACGATTTACTCAGCTTGGAAAATTGGCAACAATTTTATAGAAAAGAATACAAATACAAAGGTAAACTCATAGGACGATTCTATGATGAAAAAGGCGAACCGACCCATTACCACTGGAAATACTTGGCACTTTTGGAGCAAGCGAAAACAGCCAAAGCACAAGCAGAACAATTACGTGAAGTATATCCAGATTGCAACATTGAATGGTCAGAGGAGCGAGGCACGCGAGTGTGGTGTACAAAGTCGAGTGGCGGTAAGCAACGTGAATGGGTGGGATACCCACGTAAACTTTTTGAAGTCGGTGCTAACAACTTCCGTTGTGCTTGCATACAAGAAAAGGACTTGGACACGACTGACGTTATGTTAAAGCAGTATGATGATTGTGGACTGCGTGCCTACGAGTGTTACTACAAAGTAGATTAATTAAATAACTGTATTATTTTACATGGCATAGGAACAAAAAGGATTAATGGTAAAAAGTATTTATGCAAACTTTTTAAAAACCAGACTCGTATTATGGAGTGTTCTTAAATTAGATTTACACGATTTAAAGTATTTATATTAACATATCCAAGAATATAGAGGCCTTAGTATTCAAGTTTTGTACGAATAAAAATCCTTTATAACAAAAATTTTAACATTTTAGCATAGTAACTAATATTTATAAAAAAATCGATGACCGCATATAGTGTGAACTTTGGTGTACAACTAAGTTTTATTTGCTTGGTCAAGTTGGTCAGCTAGTCAAGATAAGAAGACAACAACAACAACAGTTTTAATATGTATGGATATTATAAAATTTAACTGCATTCATGATTTGGAATAATTTATTTCAAATGTAATGATATGTTAAGTATTGAGCCTAATTCAATAACAAATACGTAAACTAAAATTGGATTTACAAGTGATTCACTTGGTAAAACTTTTACTGGTTTATTTATTTCGGTCCCTTGATTATTTTATTTCATTCATAGTATTGGGATCAATACGTTTGAAACACATTTTTCGTTGTTTTCGATTTTCTTCCCATTCCTTAGGATGTTTTCGTTTGCGATGATGGTGCAAATTGGAGTTCACTCTAAAAGTACGCGGACAATGTGGACATTGATAAAGATCCTCACCGGTATGTGTCGTCATATGTTCCTAAATGATCAAAAGGAAAATATAAATTGTATACTATTTATGTAGTTACTTTTTTTTGAATACCTTCAGCGCGTGAGGTTGCTTGAATGCTTTCTCACAAATTGTACATTTATGTACGCGTTCGCGCAGATGTACGTACTTTTGATGTCTCTTAAGTGCATCCTCAGTGAAGGCGACCTTGCCACAATCGCCGCAAACATATTCTTCAGATCCATCATGATGAGCTGCACGCTTGTGTCGCTTCAAACTGTAATTAGAATATAGTTGAAGATCGCACTGATCACAGGGCCAACGTCGTTTACTTCCGCCCTCATGCTCCAACATGTGAATTTTTATAGCAGAGCGACCACGAAAGGATTTACCACACTGATCACAAACACTTTGATATGATGTGCTGTGGACATTGCGAATATGAATATTGAGTCGGGACTCTAACACAAAGCTGTATTTAAGAGAACGGAAAAATTAACAATGATTATGAATAACATATAAAAATTATTCATATATTGAAATCTAACATTACCCCTTCCCACAATCCTTGCAAATATGATCGGGATTGCCCTCTGCATGAGTTTCCATATGTGATTTCAAAATGGCTCGCTTAGCGTATTTTTTATGGCAAGTTTCACATTCAAACCGCCGTTCTAATGGCTTTTCTATATGCACTGTTTTCATGTGCTTCACCAAAGTTCTATTGCTGAAGCAAAGTGTATCACATTTAGAACACTGGTACTCCTTTGGATTCAAATGTACTTGCAAATGGTCAACGAAGTGACATCGTTCAGAATACTTGCGACCACAACATAAAACATAGCCTTTATCGGTATTGTGAACTTCGCGAAAATGTGCATTCAATGCAGTGAAGTCAGCGGATAAGTTACCGCACAATTCACATGGCAATTCCTCTTTGTAATGTTTGGCTATAAATGCATCGTTTGCTTTATGTTTACTGGAAGTAACCATTTTATTTATCGTTTTTACCCTCCTTCCCTTGTTCTTGATACCACGTTTCTGTTTTCCCAATTCTTTTCTCTTCGACAATGGCATATCATCATAGGCGCTATCACTATTATATTTTTCATAATCCTGTGTGTTTAATTTCTTTGAATAGTTCTCAGCTTTGGTTTCGCAAATAGCTACAGGGTCTTCTGTAGCATCCTCAATCAAGCTACCGTTATCATATATATCTCCGGCAAATGAACCAGCGAATGTATATACGTTGTCGACATCCATTTCCACTTCCAACTTCACGCTTTCCACCAAGCCTAATTGGGAAGAGTTTTCGAATTGTTTAAATCCCTCTTTCTGTAGGACCACCAGCTGCTCCCGCCATTTGTGGAAAGCCTCTAAATGGTGCCAACAACTGCCACATATTACGTGCGAATTAAAATTTGGTGTATCTACAAACTTCTGCTTATCACATTCTTCTTTAACTCCTGACAACAACTGAAATGATGTACAGATATGAAATAAAGCTCCATGCCCAAAGAAATTGTTATTTTGAGGTTTACCTCCTTATCCAAATATTTCTGTGCTATATTGTAAACCAGAGTATGGTGGCCACTGGAATCTAAAAGTTCCTCAGAGAACTGATCACAAACCCGAAAACACAAGCGGCATAACATCCTTTTTTGTGTCGCCTCGTCAATTGTTTACAAAATAGGCATGGACGATGTACATAAACAAATCTGTCGATACATGCATTGATGTTCTCCGATATATTTTCATTACTTCCAATACGCTCAATGAATCGATGGCTTTGTGTACGATGCGTTGGATAAACCATGCGATAAACCCCTTTTTAAAGATTAGCCCAGTAGAAACTTCTACTTTTGCTTTGTATGTACTTATATTTATAGAACTTGAATGAACATCGTATAAACATTATACGGCTTTCCCACACCACCCCAATTACGTAGTTCGCTCTCATTCGTAATTCGCACTCCAATTACCCTTCGAATTACGTAATTCGGCATACAAAATTTTAAGAGCGAGTTACCTCATTTGTTGGTAATTCAGATCCAATTACCATGCGAATTTCGAACAAATCGGTGCCGTCTCTAATTTTTATCGGAAATTTATCGAAACCAGATCACATATCAAAACCTGCATTTTTCTGAGTAGGAAACGTAAAGTTTATAAATGAATATATCCCTAATTTAATATGGAAACTTATCAATTTTTAGGAAGAACCCACATTTTACCTCAGGCTGCGTTTCTTTATACATTCCAGATGATCCCATTCCACAGCCAGAATAAACGGAATGCGTTTGAAATATACGTTAACATATCATCAGGAACGTTCCATAGAATAAGTAAACAAAAAAGTTAATTCCAAACGTTCAGAATGAACAATTTTGCAGCGAAGAAAACAAAAACAAAAAACGGAGACAGAGAACTGTCAAATCGAAATAAGAGGTAATTCGCGAACGTACCTAATTGGGGGAGCGAACAAAGTAATTCAGGATTGCGGTGGAAAATGGTATTACGCGGAGATTAAGGGCCGGTTGTTCAATGTCTGGTTATCGCTACTTGCCGGTTAAACATCACTATCGACGTTTCGACATCATGCATATAACATGTTATCGATAAAGCAGTCGTTGTATTTAACCGGAGCTTCTACCTCCAATTAGTACTAACCAGACATTGAACAACCGTGACGTAAACATGTCAGCAAGCGATGATTTGTTGAATCATTTTTTTGTCCATCCCTACCAAAATTGAATTACATACTTAGCCTAGGTTCACACAGAGAAACTTTTGTTGCCCATTTTCGGCAATTTCTCTTTAAGCCTGATATAAAGTTCAATGCGAGCGTGAGCGTGCGTTTTTTATTTTGACCAATATCTTCGTTATCACTCAACTTTTTGCTATAGCTGAGACATGAAAAGATAGAGAATTAAAATATCTTTCAAAATTATAGAATAAAAACTAATTTAAAATGCATAATATGTCTTTTTTCGAGCTCGCACTCAACTGTGTGTGTACGCAAAGCATTCGCATGTGAACGGCAAGTTTTAACAGATGTGTGTGAGCGTCCATAAGAATACAAATGGAATTATTTGCCATTGCGAACGTTCACGCTCACGCTCGCATTGAACTGTATATCAAGCATTAGGTGTTGCCCTTCGCGTTCACACAGAGCAATTCCTTTGTACATAAATGTTGTTGTCAGCTGTGTACGCCAACTAGAATTATTCAGACGAACGAGAGCACAAATCGTGTTGCCTGAGCACGAGCAACTTGGTGCCCTTCCCCCTTCCTCGTCACTCCCTCTCCCACAAGTAACGAGTTGCCGCGACAAAAGTTTATCCGTCTGAATCTAGACATACGTGCTTGATGATAAAGGTATTCACAGTTTCTTTTTAACCTACTTCACAAAAAGGTTATCAATTCGACGGAATATTTTTTTTTTATGTATGATACCGCATAACTTTGGCCCACGTTAACTGATTTCGATAATTATTTTTGCATCGGAAAGGTGGTACCTTAAGGGTGGTCTCATACTAATTTTGTTTAGATCCCATAATAGGATAACGATAATCTTAAACTTTTATGAGAATTGAAGTCGGTTTTGTTTTTTGTTTAAAAATATATGGAAATTAAACCAAACTGAAAACATTTAACCTTGACTTTGCTACATCTATTTGAATGAATTAGGGAGTCCATGTCCATTGAATTAATAAAGCGCTAGCTTAGAGTGAAAAGTTGCTAAGTCCACTTTTTATGCAAACTCATATTTTGATATGGGAGGCTAGAGAAATTGAATACGCATCGTTGCGACAATTATAAAGGTACTTGTTTTATTTTTTCCTCTTCATAAGCAATAAAAGGAAAATTTGCTAAGTCCAAAAGAAGCACCACAAATCTGATAAGGACAAAATAATACGACATCTTTAAATAAATATCGAATCCTTCTGATTCTTATGGAGTTTTGCTTTGCTTTAAACGCGCAAAATGTCCGATTCAAAGTCTTGCGAAATAGTTAAAGAAAATGGCTATAGAAAGATTTTTTCCTCTCCTGTAAAATTTTTAAAATGGGACTTAGCAACTTTTCTTTCTAAGCTAGCGAAATATTAGGTATTCCATTATACTGGAATTAATTGGATAGTTTTAGATGACGTAACAGCATAGAAATTCTCCAGAGCTTTTGGGTAGTGATGCTGGAGTGAGTCCTTGGTTAGATATAAATCTGGGTCGTTCCGGTTACGTTTAGACCCGACCGTCGTTTGTGCTTTCTGAATGGATGAGTCAAAAAGCGCTTGGTTATTGTTGTAAAAATTCGCACAAGAGTGGTAGTACCACTAGTTTTCTCGTGGAGCGAGGCGTGGGCTAGTTTTAAATATGTCCATCGTCAATGCAGTTTGGGTGGGTGTATGCTTTCCTGGACAGTTGAATTTAAAAGGATTTTGATTTCCCAAAAAGAAAACATGGTTCGTTCATATATCTATGGTCAAAGCAATAACCGCCTAAGTCGACTTAAGAAAGAATGGAGTTATATATGCTATCGTATTCTTCAATCCCTATTCCATGCGTACGGGAAATACCCATCTCGCCAGCTAGGCTATTTAAAAAGTTATAGGCGAAAATATTTTGGTTTCCCCATATGGTTAACACTACAATCCAAATCTTTAAAGCGTTTTTTCTCGAATTAAGGTTTTTCGACTTAGGCGATTATTGCTTATGACTACAGATAAGTATTCATACTTGGAAATTAAAGTCAAACTCTTTTTTCGGCTTTCTTTTTTTTAATTTTCTATTCTCAAAAATATGTATTTAGCA